GATTTCTTTCATAAACATTTCATTTATATTCTTCTAACGTGCATTTTTTTTTTATATACAACGCATAATTAATTGAGAAGTGCTATTAAAAAGCCTCGTTAAATATTTTTTATATCATGAAAAATCAATTAACTGATATTATTTGTACATTTATTAGCTTTAGAATTTAAGTCAAAATAGCAGCAGTGATATCATTACATCTAAATCATGAATTTCTTTTGTATATACTGCATAATAAAAATTGTTGCTACGGTTACGCTAATAGTCAATATAACGTGTGTGCATTATGACGAACGAAAATAATGTAACTTTTCAAAATCGTATGATAACATTAATAATCAAATTCGTCATACCGATCATCTCAAGCGTTAAAGTCCTATGTACAGTAGTTATACCGAACTTGCGGTTCTTGTAAAAAAAATTTCATCTGTTATAGAGTAATTTACTATACTTTTATACAAAATTACATAAATAATTTTTTAAAAAAATTTTCGAATTTTAAATTCATTAAATAAAAATTCGTTATATGAACTTTAATTTATCTATCAATTCATAAAATTACAATGCATGCATCTTAAAGTTCACGTAAATGACTAAAAATACTGTTTTATTAACAGATCCTATTAGCTAATTAAAATCGGACATTATATAGACGTATATTTTTACAACACTTTCCGTACAATAGTTATCGTTATACTAAATTACCAATTTGCTTCTTTTAGTTAACCAAAAATCATAATATCTTGAAATTTGATCCATCAAATTAAATTCTTTTTAACTATAACGTAATGTTGTTAGTTAAAATTGTTTTTGCTAATGTAAAAATTTGTCTAAATTAAATTGTCTAAATGTTTAAATTCATTTTTTAATAGCAATTTTTAAAAAAATAACAAAGTCAAAATTGCCTAAATTCAATTTGCATAAATGCCTAAATGCCTAATGGTCGACACGTGTTTCTTAATCTTTCTACGTGTATACAGAAGTAATATAAGATTTAAGACGTTTTATTTTATTATATCCAGAGTTCGTTATGAATATTTATTAAAGTCACGTATTTGAATTTGAATTTTGAAGTTCTTTAAACGTTTTAATTATTATTAACTAGCTCAATTTTCACATGTGAAGAGTTTTTTTTTACGTTCTAAAACATCTTATACGTAGTTTAGTAAGTCTTTTATCTATTTTTAAAAAGCTTATTCGTTGTATCACAATACTTTCACTTTTTACTGTAAGTACCTCTAGGTTATGGTACTTTTTTGGATTATTCTGACATAACTGTTTGCGTTTATTTGAAGGTAGAAACGGTTTTAATTTATTATCTGTGAAATGTTATATTATTTTTAACTGTGTAAATACAATTGATCAATCAGAAGAAAGTTTATCTTATAGCTTACGAATGGAGTTCATTTAAACAGTAAGTGTTGAATAACTTATTTATAAACTTTAAAGTCAGGGTTGGCAATGGACTATGATAGATTCTAAAAAAAAAAATCTCAATGGACATTATTCGTTTGTCCAATGAATAATGTCCATTGAGACCGCTAAGCCAGTGCTAAGCCACATTATGGTCCATTGGCCAACCCTGCTTTAAGTACTGTACTTGAGATTGTAAAGTTTTACTAATAAAAATCAAAAGCAATTTCTAACTTAAATAACATCAAATGTTAAAAAGATCTTTATTCCTACCGTTATTGGATAATACATATTATATGTTGTAGATTGAAACATTTTAATTCAAGACTGTCTTATTACGCGTAGGCTTCAGGGTTTAACGGTGAATTAAATTTATGGTTCAGTTTAGGTTCGGGTTTATGAAAAATAAATACTGTACCACTTTATCTCAACGCGTATCTATCTATTCTCTCATACGCGATAAATTCTTTCGTGTATATTTATTAATTTTATATAAGTTTTGAACATAATACAATGACCAATAATTAATCAATCTTCCCATAAGCTCTGGCAATTAGCTAATCAAAAAAATATACTATATATTTTATATATAAGAAACGGACGTTTAAACCCTATCCTAAGGCAGTAATATAATAAGGTTTAGGTCCAATCATTTACGTCATAACAACAAAAGTTTATATATATATAGATCTTTAATTTCTACTATTTTTTTCCTAGTTAATTTTCTTTTGCGACTTTAAAACATTCAAAGTTTTTCTTTTGCAACTTTAAAATATTCAAAGTTTTTTTTTACAAGTTTAAATTTATTTTTACACAAAGACTATACAGGCTCTCAATTTTCATTTGGCACAGGTATGCTTTACATTCCTATTATAACTTTACCCAAATAGAAATTGTGTGAATTATAAAAAAACTATGCTAATTTGTTTATTCTATTTATAAATTAGAATATTTATAAAGAAACAGTTGTTGGCTTGCTTCACTCACTATAACAATTGCATAATTTATTTAAATCCTCGAATAGTTCATTTTCAGCTATCGTTTGGTAAGTTAGCTATGTATTTTATTAATCTTTTAAACTCTTCTAAATAAATTATAAATAATTCTAATTCTAATTTTTTTTTTAATTTATAGATTACTATTGTATTCGAATAATTACCTTACATAACCCTAACGCCACCAAGGTTTGACAATGAAAAAGGAAATCAAAAAGCCAAATATTATAACTTATAAAAATAAAGTTTGGTAGGAATTCATATTTGAAAACTTGAAAACTTTCAATTGATTTTCTCAAGTGTATTTAATTTAAAAAATAATTTTTTTACATAATTAACAATAACCGCAAAGCCTTAAAGGTAATTAATTATTAACTAAATATTATTTTTATTATATAAACTATGAATTTTATATATACTTTTTTTAAATAATAAAATAAAAAGGGTTTATTATCGTCCCTATAAAGTCTTTTCGAGATCATACAGATACAAATGTTAATTATTTTTGAGTAAGTATATATATTTTTTTAATATAAATATAGATGCAAAGTTGGTAAAAACCTATCTATTTTTTAATAATTTATCGTTATGCTTATTAATTATTAGTGGAGAAGTCACTTTCGTGAGTTCCGCTCAATGAAAACGTTTTTAGAAATTTATTGGAGTAAATTCAAAGAATACTGTTGGTCACCATAGTGACATTATAATCTGTGGCCAACATGAGTTCGCGCACCTTGTAGAGGAGGTTAGTTGCCTTTTATTAAGAAAAATAAATAACTTTTCGATTTTGGTAGAAACAACCGCAATTCAACGGATGAAAAATATTTATGTGAATTGGCGATAGCTTTGAAGAGTTGCTTGTCATAAGTGCCTAAAGTATACAAAAAGGCACCAACTAAATTTTAGCGGATTTTCAGACATGGACGAATGATTCATTGAAAGAAACATTGAAGAATATTTGACCCAATTCTGGACAATTCAGACAGAGATATGTTTTTATTATCCAAGTAAAAAGTACATACTTTTTTAATTAATCTATTTATTTGATGTGATTAGCCACATTTTATTTATAATGTTTATTATTATAATTAGATAATTATCATTACAGAAACGACCTTAGAAACTTCAGTTTTTGACCACACCATGCCAATAGCTTATCGTTCACGTTTATGAACCAGGCTGAAATCCCTTTATAGATAAAAAAAAAAAGACAATTCTTTAAAATTTTTATTTATATACGAATTAATTGTAAGTACATTTTGCATTGATATTTTGAAATTAAATAAGCGTATAATTATAACTTTATTGTATATAGATCGTTAATAAAGAAAATTCAAACAATTAATTAACAGTTAATAAATAAATTTGTGAATAAAAAAAGAGAATGGGTATAGTCAATGGTAGCGTTAAAGTACTACGATTTATGGTAGAATGTAATTCATATTTCAGTATTTCGCAATTCAAAAATTCAAATTTTGTAAATTAATTTTATTGTCAACAATAAAGAACAAGAGCTCGATAAATATCTATTTAGACTTTGATAAACAACCAATAAGCGAATAACTAAATAATTGGTTCTTTCGCAATTGTTTTTACTCCTATATTAAAAGAGTGAAAAAAAAAACCTTAAGAGATTTAGTTGACGGTAGAATTACTGAATTGCGGCATTAAGACCAGAATTTTGTAAATTAATTTTACTGTCAACTATAATTGGCTATACTTGAAGAAATGAATTCATTACGTTCTTTAAATATGATTGTTTTTTCTATACTAAGGCCGTTTGAAATTAAAAATTCATTTGAAATTCTCCCCTGAAGCTCCACCCTTAAATTAAACAATATGAGAACGATCGAAAAATTTGAGGCAGATTAGTAAATTTCGGAAAGTTAGACAAATAACCAACATTAAACACGAGCTGGTTCAGATTTAGAACTTGAACCTAAATTTGGACCATTAAAACCTCGTAAAAATTACTGTAGTTTAATTTTTCCCATCCCTTTCTGCATAACGAAAGTTTCAATTCAAACGGCCTAGTAAAGGATAAAGAAGTAAAATACGGAATTAAAGTTATTGAGTTTATCTAGTTGTGATTAATAAAATTTTTTAATATTAGAATTTACTATCGCTATATGATCTGCACTATCACTATCGCGTGAATAAAAATAACCATATAATTTGTTAAATAATTTTCGGATCAGACCGGTTGTTTTAAAAGTTTAAACTTGGCAGCTAGGATCGGGCCCTTGGATCAGGTCGTATTCGTACTACAATTCATCGTTATCGTACGATAAAAAAAATCATAATTAGGTAAAAATGATGATCTTTTACTAATGTATTTATGGTGTCAAAAAAAGTTCTTACCAAAAGGAGGGTCTATATTCAACAAAAAAAATTGTATATAAAAAATTCACTCTCATAACGAAGTTTTTCTCATTGATCATAAAAATATCTTTTAACCATGAATCCCGAACACAATCGCAAACCCTTTATTGGCGGTATGTTGGCTATCGAATGAAATTGTGTCTTGAGAGGTTATTTAACTGGTAGCTTTAATAACTAAAATAAATTTCAAAAACAAAAGGTAATTTTAAAATGAATGGTACTAAAGCTTTGCTTAAGGAGATAATAGATAGATTGAATGCATTAAATTTTGACGATCATGTTGGTGAGATATCTAATAAAATAAAAATTAAATTAAAAAAAAAAAATTAGTATACTACTTTATTTCGAAATTATAGAAGTGGTAATCGCCCCGCCGACATTATATCTCGACCTGGCTCGTAATACTGCTAAGAAGGATATCAGTATTGCTGCTCAGAATGCCTTTAATTATACTAAAGGAGCTTACACTGGTGAGGTCAGGTAGGGTTAATTTTTTAAAGAAATATAGTTTTTTTGTAATCGAGTAATGAAATTCGGATAATCATGTACAAAAAAAATTTTTTTTTTTTTACAAAAAAAGTCCTGAGCAATTAAAAGACATTGGCGCTGATTGGGTAATCTTGGGTCACTCAGAGCGTCGAGAGATCTTTAAAGAGTCGGATGATGTATGTCACATTTTATGTTTCGATATATTGAATTTCTAGCCCAACATGTCCCATCTAAGACTCATTTCATATTTAATTTTAATGGATGTAAGTTTGTCGCTTCTAAAGTAGCACACGCTTTAAAAGCCGACATGAAAGTTATAGTCTGCATTGGAGAAAAATTGGAGGAACGAGAGTCTGGAAAAACTGAGGAGGTTGTGATCAGACAATTTCAAGCTGTAGCTAAGAATATCAATGATTGGAAAAATATCGTAATTGCTTACGAACCTGTTTGGGCTATCGGTACAGGAAAAGTGGCAACACCACAACAAGTAAGGATCAATAATTCTGCAATCGATATATTTGGATATTTTTCACCTATATTCCTTATATTAGGCACAAGAGGTTCATGTTATTATTCGAAAATGGTTAAAAGATAACGTATCCGAAAAAGTGGCCAATGATACACGTATTATCTACGGAGGTAATGTTAAGAAAACCTTATGATTTATCAAAATATATTTATTGTTCTAATATTTTAAAATTCATACTTCCGATGTTAGGTTCTGTTAATCAAACGAATTCTCCTGAACTTGGTTTGTTTTCTAATTGCTTATATATGTTATTACTTAAACAATGTTAAATTTTTTTTTTTTATAATCATTTAGCGAAACAATGTGATATTGATGGATTTCTTGTAGGTGGTGCTTCTTTAACAGAACAGTTTATTAAAATTGTTGAATGTTTTATACCATAAGATGAAAAGTTGTAAGAAATTATCAAGTAGGAGATTTAAACCATAATATATAAATATCATTATATTGAATTATACAAATACATCTCTAACAAGTTTAAGTAGCGAAAAGCATTAGAAAATAAAGAAATGGAAAAAGAATGTTATTTTTGAGAGGTTCCTACTCATTAATTTTCTGTAAGATATTATTGCAATTTTACAGGTTAATAATTGCATGATAATTTTTTTATATTAACGTTTGTTTATGGTAAATAATAAAATGGCACGCAATAAATCTGTGCCAGATTATTTAGCCTGAGCTGTAGGGATGGACAAGTCCTGGAAAGACCGAATAGAGATCAGTCTTTTAACCAGTCTCACGGTTATTCAGTCCTAGGTCTTGAGACCAGTCTTCATAAATGGTTAAAAATATCAAATTACAATTAAAAAATGTATATTCATTACATTATAATCGAGCATTATTTTGAAGGGAATTAGATATATCGATATTACAGTAGTACATAATTGCTAATTTCGATAACTGATTTCATATGATTTGAATCTCTCAGCTAGCCAATAGAATTTTTAGAGTTTTAAATAATCAAAGAACCGTTTTTTAGGACCGAGACCGAACCAAAAATATTAATAGACTGGTCTTATCAGGGACTAGAACCGGACTGATCCATCCCTACTAAGCTGGTTTTAAAGTTAAATTAGAGTTAATAATCTTCAATTTTTACTTTTTTGAGTCATAAGATAGCATAATATAATATATATGATTTAGAGTGATTATTAAGAGTGATTGTAAAATTGTTACGAAGAGTTTTTTAGATAGATAGTTCACAAAGTCTTTTACTTAACTATTGATTATTAACACGTGATCGTATCACACATTAGGGACCTCGATGCGATGCGATGCGATGCGCATAATGGATGCCAAGCATAATTTGACCAGAAATCGCATAATCTTAATTGGCGCCTGCTGATTGGTCAATTTTTATAGATCGTAACTAGAGATGCCGTAACTATATTAAACAATTATAAAAAGTTACGGCACATGTGCTGTAACTTTTTATAATTGTTTAATATAGTTACGGCATGTTACGGCAATGTTATGGCATCATTGGGACAATTCGCCTGCATCTCTAATCGTAACGGTAAAAAAATAATTTTTTTTTCATACAAAAAACTAGACGAATATCTCGCAGCTCCACAGATATCTTTCTATTCTGATCCATTTGTATAGTGAAAATTTAATAAGGAAAGATTTCCTATTATAAGTGAATTAGCTTTCTGTTTCGGCTACGTCAACGCCTTCCGAAAGGTTGTTTTCAGATGCGGTAATTCTTAAAAAGTAATTACAACGTTTTAGATAACATTCACCCATTGTCATAGTATACGTTATATAAATACAATTTCATTTTGTCATTATAAAAATAATGATTTATTATAAAAATAATAAAAATAATAATTTATTTATAAAAATACATAATTTAATTTAAATCGTACATTTAAATTTAAACATTATTGCATAATATTCATGTAACTAATATTTTGACTTATTCGAAGAATAACTTAAAATTTTATAATTAAAACTTATAATAATCGCACTATTTTATGCATAAAAAATATTAAATTAATCAAACTGGTTCCAGGAAATAATTAGTTTTTCTTGTTCTTCACTACGTGAAATCAAAACATAGGGAGTATTATTATAAGATATATCTGAAGATCGAACGTTAATCGGTTCGTTTGTAATTTGTCTAGATTCATTTAATTCAATAAGAATTTGTTTGTCGTGTTGCCATCTCTTAAAATTTTCACAAAGTTCGTCTGCCAACGGTCGTTTTTCGGGATCCTGATCCCAACATCTTTTCACCAATTCTACATACGGACGCGGCGCATCTTCAAGAGGCGGTCGTGAGCCACCAAGTATTTGTATCATTTGGTCTTTCGGATCAACTGATTTATAATATTGTTGAATAGATTTTCCATACAATATCTCCCACATAATGATTCCAAAAGAATAAATATCAGAAGCTATAGTATAAGAACCTCGGTTTATAATTTCTGGTGCAATGTATGGTAAAATTCCGTAAACTTGTCCCTCCTTTTGTTTCATATGTTGGATCGAGAGGCCCAAATCAGCAATGTACGCGCTGTACAAATTATCTTGTAATATGTTACCACTGTGCAAATCTCGATGAATAATTTCTTGGGAATGAATTGCTTTGAGATCATAAGATATACTAAGTAACAAGCCTATTTTGTCTTTCCATTTCATTTCCATCATATAGCGAAGATTCTTACGCAAAGAACCCATTTTTGCATATTGTAATACGAGAATGTAGTTTCCATTTCCATTTCTTGTTATACCGTAACACTTCATAAACGAAGGATTTTTAACTCCGATTTCGCAATACTTTTTTAACTTTTGAAAAGATTATTTTTAATCAAAAATAAAATGTACAAAATAAATTAAATTAAATTAAATTAAGTACCTCGTTTAACTTCTCATTTTCATGATATTCTTTAAGTGCGACAAGAATGGGTCGGGTGGACTTATTTCTAGATTGACGTTCCCACTTAGCTAAATACACAGTTGCGAATCCACCTTTTCCAATTTCTGATCTAAATTCTAACTCATTAAATGGAATCCATAATATGTTATTTCTAAGTAATAATTCTTTTAAGGAATCATCAACATTTTCATCATCAAAAATTTTATAATTTGTTTCTTGGGATTCGTTATCTTTTGCTTTTTGCAAAAATTCAATAGCCCTTTCCTGATCAGAGGGTGTTCCATAGCCGTTTCGAAAATACAATCCAACTTCATTTTGTCCACTAGAAAACCCATTTATAGCAGCTTTTAAATGACATTAAAATTCTTTCTTTTCGTCTTTATTAGTACCAATTCCATCCCTGTAGCAAAGTCCAAGATTATATTGTGCAGTCAAATTGCCACCCTCGGCAGATTTTGAATACCACTCGAATGCTTTATGATAATTTTTTTGAACTCCAATTCCTTCTTTATAGCAGAATCCTAAATTAACTTGTCCAAGAGGATTGCCACCTTTGGCAGATTTTAAAAACCACTCAAACGCTTTTTCTTCATTTTTAATAGTACCTACTCCATCTTTATAACAATGTCCAAGATTGTTTTGTCCAAGAGTATGACTCATCTCAGCAGCTTTTTGATAGTATTCAAAAGCTTTTTTGTCATTTTTCTCAACTCCGATTCCGTTTTGATAAAAATATCCAACATTGTACATTCCACCATTATCATCCATATTAGCGGCCATTAAATAGTACTCAAAAGCTTTTTTTTCATCCTTTTCAACTCCAATTCCTAATTGATATTTTGAACCTAATACATAAAACATATTAGAATCAGTAAAAGAATTACTAGTAGAATCCCTAGTAATTATTAATTTACAATCTTCTTGATAACATCGACCAATATTAAAATCTCCCTTAACATCATTCAATGCAGCTCTTTGAAAAAAAGGAGATGCATTACGTTCTTCTCTGACAACTCCTATTCCATGTCTATAACAGTATCCAACCATATATATTCCTTCAGCAAGTCCTATATTTGCAGCTTTTTTGTAATATTCAAATGCTTTATCCCGGTTTTTTTCAGTTCCATATCCATGATGATAACAATAGCCAACTTGAAATATTCCTTTGACATGTTTATCATTAGCAGCTTTTTGAAAGTATTCGAATGCTTTTTGATAATTTTGTTCGACTCCAATACCGTGAAGCTGATTGTATCCGATATTATAAACTTTTGATGAAATTACTCGAGAAATTTCCATCTCGAATAAAAAAATATTTCAGTATTTGTTTGAATGATTCGTATTTATTTTAAGAATTTACTAGGTAGCTGTCTAAGTAATAGTATAATAGAGTTAACAATAGATTTACATAAATACATTTTATGATAAAAAAAAACAATCGTGTAATCCGTTCAATAGATTTACCTAAATAGAAGAATTACATTTTATGAATAAAAAAAACAATCGTGTAATCCGTTCAATAGATTTACATAAATAGAAGAATTACATTTTATGAATAAAAAAAACAATCGTGTAATCCGTTCCGTATCTGGTATGCCATACAGTAGAATCGTCTCAATGATTGCCGTAACTAATTATATAAGCTTGGTTAAAGCTTATGTTAAGGCAATCATTGGGACGGTTCTACTGCATCACTAGCCAATAACTGATACTACAAAAATACTTACAGTACAATCATTCAAGTTGACTAAAGTCAACGGATCGAAAAGATGCTAAGCGGGCGTGATAAGCTTATGAAACTGCAGCAGAAACCTCTATAACAAAATCCTACTTCTAAATTCAAATAATTTACATTTCTACACAGATGCATCTATCAAAAACTCCTAAACTCCAAATATCAAAACTGGTATTGCATGGATACTTCAAAACAATACCCAAATCAAATTTAATACATCAATTCCA